CAGCTATTGGATATGTATTACGTGTACACTAGCACTCAAAAATTTGCAGAATTGACGCGGAGGTCTAAGAGCAAGAGGAATGGTCTCCACGCGCCTGTTCCGCGAATTTTTGATCGCTAGTGTACGTCAGATTACATATGTATTAGAGGCATTATAATCCTAATTAGTATTTGATTAAGGAATTAATAAGCAATACACATTAAACCGGCGAATTTGCAATTCGTGTTAAACTATCGTTTTTGCGGGAACATCTATTTTATCTACGAAAGAAGAGATGTGTTCGCGATAGAACAAAGACGATCATCTGGACAAAAGTCTCGTCGTTGTCGGAATATGTCGCCGACGTGAGACTTTTGGCGCAGAAAACGGGAGTTTTCACGGCGGAAATATGGAAATATCGACGGCGCGGCCTCGTTACGAGATGGCGCCGAGCAAATTGAACAATAATCCGCAGACTCGGCGGGTCAGCTGTAATTGTACCCGAGTGTGAGTGTGTCGCTAAGTGGAACGTGGCTGTAGTGAAATAATGACGCGCGCAAATCGTTAGAGGCGAGTCACAAGTTCTCGGCCTAATCAAACCCGAGTCGCGCTTCGCAACTGTTTTTTGAACGCGATGAAAAAGCTGACGTTCCTCTCTCCTCTTCTTAATATTTCTAAAGATATACTTGACGCTCATCCTGATTCAAGCACTTTACAGCGTCGAACTTAAAAAGCAAATCTGGATACGAGAAAAAAATTTCTTTAACAATTTTTAGTCACATAACTTCATTCAGTAACGACTACATAATGGTTAATAGTTCGCGTATGTCGCTACACATTGGCTTTATCGGGCTTCTTTAAAAATAAAAAAATGTATGAAAATTCTTGAAATTCCTGAAAGCGTTATTCCGATAGAAGCTTCGGTAATTGATAACCGCTAGATCTACGTGATATATAATCTGCTGATATTCTGCACACACACAATCCATGATATCTTTGTTACTTAAAAACATCGATCGTTTATTAAAATATATACGATCTCGTCCTTGAGCGACACTTCACGAGCGCAAACTTCCCTTCTCTGTCTCTCAGGCAAGATTGTACGGTTGGACTGCTTTCGAAATGTTATTCCTTCAAGTACGCGAGCGCGATATAAGTTGACCTGATCGATGTGCTTGTGATCAGCGTCCTAATTGTCGTCGTAAATCTTTCGTTATAATCTGTTCTTTTGTCTCGGCGAGAAAAGAGAGAGAGAGAGAGAGAGAGAGAGATAGAGAGAGAATAAAAAATAATTCGTACGCCGCAGCGGGAGTTGAGAATTAATCGTCCTCGATATTTGGAAGAGGAAATATCTGAAAAAGAATATAAATTTCTTGAGGAAGATAATAAGATGAAAATTATAGGACATGAAAATTACGAGCGTACAGAGATTGTCAGACGTGTTGAATTAAATTGTAACAATACGAATAGATCCGCAAACGCAGTTCAAATGGATTGCTAGTAATTGTTACAGCTCAAGTCATGCTGGAACGCAATTTCACCGGCCACAAAGTGATAGTTCTACTTCCGAAGTGACACATATATGCGGCTTTTGTGAGGCCATGATGTAGGTCAACATCGCTCTTTTGCACCTTCCTTTATTCTTAATCAAAGAGTAACTTTGCGCAATGCGCTTGATCGTAATAATCTTTTACGGAATGTCAATAAAACTAATCTTACAAAAGAATATACACATAGACTCTTATACGTGTTTATTTTACAATTCCACAAAGTTTCGTTAATGTTCAACATATAAAAAGCTTTTTTTGTTATATTTCCGAATATTATTTTGCGTTTTGTCTTTTCTTTGTAAGTTTTTCAATTTACGAAATGAGAAGAACAATCAGATTACATTATAGACATAACACACTTTATATTATACAAGTTTATGTTACAGAATTGATAAAAGAGACTGTCTTTCAAACCTCATCAAATTTGAGCAGCAATAAACGGAACATTGTTCGCTGCTTTTTCCAGTAACAAACAAAATAAATTGAATTTAACATTTAAATTTCAATTTACATTTCATTTGCTTTGATGTAAGATGTGAAATCAAACTTGGATAAAAGAATCCCAGTATATAGTCTCTATAAGTGTCGCGCTTAGTTGTGTAATTGCGTTTATCGAAAAGACGATTTTATTTAATTATTACTCGCCGGAATGTGTTCAGTGACTTCAGGGACAAACATTGTGTAACTCAGCACACAATCTCTCAGCACAGTCTCTCGCTAAAACTCTACAAGCAAAAATACAAACATGATTTTAATTATATCGCTGTCTTTTTTTACGCGATCAATTTTTAAGATAGAAAGTTCCGGTTGGATCTTATTAATTTTTGCACTTTATCGCTCGGTATATAGTTGCCTATTCTTTGCATTTTTCATATCGCCAACAATATCGATTTCACGTTTCAATTCGATTGTTTCATTCTATTTCCGATGTTATTTCCAAGAGAGGAGGATACTTGGAGACAGTACATTAATTAATACATTAATTGGAGACAAATCTATCGCGCTGCGAAACGCGTTAGCGTTGTTAATAGTCGCTTAATAGTCGTTTTCTTCGAAAGATTATTTATTTGAGAATATTCTGCACAAAAATATACGAGAATCCGACTCCGTCTCAGTTTTCTGTTACATATTTATCTTTTTATATTTGACATTTCTTCGGCAATGTTTTCTCACTTCTCTGCAGCATGTTGTGAAACTTGTCTCAATTTCTGTACATACATCGCTACAGAATGTGCTTTAAAGTTTTTTCTTTTTTTTATAAATCAATTACTTTGTATTTGCAAAAAAAGGCCCCTGTAGATTAAATAATATCTTGTCACTCTCTCATTCCGCTGTTATAAACATTCATCGTTTATTATTCTTTCAAATTCTTTTTTTTTTTTACTCTTCCCAAGACGTGACAGTAACCCGACGTAAATTCATTACTCGTTTGCGTCTATGTGAAATTTGTATCCCAAAGCAAGAGCTTTTAATAAGTGTTTCAATACAATGTTTTCTGCGTCATTTGATTTTGGTCGAGAGACGTCGCGCTTTTCGAGAAACTTAAACTTATCTCCAATCAAACGCGCGGTGCATCTTACATTTTCTTGAAATGTGTTATGGTTATTTCTTTTCTTATAACAATTTTGGGTAAATATACAGAATAGGGGAGCCCCCTCCGATCGGCTTCTCGTTCACATATTATTAAGATTACCTTTCACATATTATTAAGATTACCTTTCTGAGTAACAATATGAAGGTTTTAGTCGTTGCTAATTGTTTATAAAAAAGTTATGATCAAAAAAAGTTTTATAAATAAATCTTTTTTCCCAACAACATGTACATTTTTTGTGTGTTGAAAGCATGTAGGCAGGGGGGCTGCGCCCCCCCGCAGGTAGAGAGGCTTTGTCTCTTCCCCCTGCTCCCCCCACGAAAAAAAATAGAAAACGACTTCCGATTACAGGTCGCTTCATGTCGATAGTATGTACGTGATTTTTAACGACACCTAATCAGAAGTCGTTTTCTATTTTTTTCCAATGGGGGAGCAGGAGGGAGGGGCGAAGCCCCTCCACCTGCGGGGGGGCGCAGCCCCCCCTGCCTACATGCTTTCAACACACAAAAATGTACACGTTTTCGGGAAAAAAGATTTATTTATGAAACTTTTATTGATCATAACTTTTTTATAAACAATGAGCGACGGCTAAAACTTTTAGAAACGTACTCAGGAAGGTCATATTTGCAATATATGTGAACGAGAAGCCGATCGGAGGGGGCTCCCCTATTCTGTATACTTACCCAATTTTGTACATACATATCTTATGTGACATTATTGTTTTGTCTTATTCTACCGTCGCGAAATAAACTTCACTTTCGACTTTTTCTTTTTTTTTTTTTTTTTTTATACCTACGTAAAAAAACACTAAATCTCGAAACAAGTTACACAGAGTCTGCTCGTGACAGTGCGCGAACAAATATTTTTATGTGTGTAATGCGCGAACTGCACATGACGCGCTCTCTTTTGCGAGTATACGAGCAAAAATACAACAGTGGAGTCGTGCGAGATAGGTAACTGATAAATATAACCGGTCAAAGGCTACTGTGGCCGCATACGCCACGACCGCATTTACAATAACAGTATGGCTTCGAATTTTATCACTACCATGTTCATTTTCTCATTTCACTGTGGAATTAAAAAATTTTCTTTCGGTCTTGCCCTTACAAAATCAAAGTTATATTATATGCGTATCCTAGAAAGAAGAAACGCGCTATGTTCCTTTTCTTTTTACAGTGAAAATGCGTATGTTTCTGAAAAATAATTTTGCGCGGTTTGACAAAAGTTTGTGATGTGAAACAATTTAAAGTACTTTTTATTTTGGAATCACACAGTCAATTGTAATCGGATGCACTCTTCTATACGCGCGATGTACTACACATTTGAAAAATTACATGATTTAGGATCAAAGTATGTAATAATGATTGAGATCGATCACTGTGCATTTTAATTGACGCGTCAGAAAGATAATTCGTTATCGTCACTGTCGCTTCACATTATTCGAGCCGTATCGACAGTGATGTGCAACACAACGTACGCATTTTATTTGATACAGAATTTACGGCATTTTGTACAAGCTTGCGACGACGTGCGGCTGCTTCATGAAAATAACAATGACGTTTAGAAAAAAACTATGTAAACAAGAGAATATCCAAAATATCACAAATTGCTTGCATTATTTTAAAAACACATATCTTCTCGTTTAGAATTTTTTTTTTTTATTACACATAAGTGCAAAAGTCGCAATAACAAATTTCTTTAACTTACTGGCTCACTACAGTCTCACATATTTTTCTTGATGTTGTCTGTGTTACTAGTCAATGTTCAAGCTTTCATAAGCACCGCATTTATTGTTGAATTGTTTGTTGTTACTGTTATCACAAAGCTAGCTAAGGAACATTAACTGATCGTTATTGTAACTGAATGTTTCTTGCTTGCAGCACCAGAGCGCCGCCCAGGCATTGGTGAGTCGCATGTCTTTTTCTTTCTTTTTCTCTCTCTCTCTCTCTCTCTCTCTCTCTCTCTCTCTTTTTCTCTCTCTCTCTTTATATTACATGCATTTTACATATCTTTTTTATATTTTTGTCGCTACATTCTGATATCTCTCAACTGGCCGAAATTGCTATTAACCCTTTTCGTGGTACATGTTTCAATTAAAATATATGACTGCGCTTACAAATTTAGTGTGTACAATGATGTCAACTATATAACTGTGCTTACAATTAGTGCAATTAGTAGTCATATTAATCTGTTTTACAGAAATAATGAATAATCTGAATTGTTGATGATAAGAAGACCACGAGAGACGGTTGATAGAAATTAGAGTGAATATATATTAATACATATCTCTTCCTTCACTAAATCATAATATCAAAATCAGCTGCATCATGATAAATGTGTAGAAATTCACACTTCGAATTTTCATATAAGACATGTCCTGTGTTCAGTGTACAATACGTTGATTCTGAATGCAGTGAGCTCACAGATATACAAGCTCATCAATTATTTAAAATTTAAATGAAATATATAGCCAAATAATAATTTAGAAACTTTAGCTATAGCTTAGCAGTTACGACTGCGTTCCGTTTTGTCAGTTTTAGATGAAATAACATAAGTATAAATATAATTAATAATGGAAGTGGCCAATTCGAGGCAATAACCAGATCTTTGGGTCAATAAGCTTCTTTATTTCGAAAAATTTTTGACAAACGTTTCGACCCCTAATTTGGATCTTCTTCAGTGTATAAGGAAGATTCGCAGATATAGGAAGAACTCAGTCCATCAGTCGCGCGTCAATAACACGCAATATCAAAGTCTCGGCAATAAGGACCCGAAAAAACAAAACGGAACAACAACTAGCGCGACTGAATCTGTCGGGGGCCGAAAGTTTGTCAAAAATTTTTCCAAAATAAGAAGCTTACTAACCCAAAGATCTGGATTATTGTCTCGAATTGGCCGCTTTCCTTTCATTATAATATTTTACGAAGAAGAATAAAAAAAAGTTATATAATTAATGTTACATTATGTACAAAAAATGTTTAAAAAAATGTTTTTGGATGAAAGGTAAGCTTCTTGTATCAAGAAATCGAAAAGTTTTAGAAACCCAACCTTTAAACTTAGAAAGTATCGTGTGCGATATGATTTTTACGCGATGCTCGTACACCGACTTATAACAAATTCTATCAAAATCGAGCAGAGCTCTTCTAACTTGTTTTAACCTCACGCTCTTCAAAAACATCTTACACAAGCATCCAAACCTAATTTGGATTAATAATTCCCACGATCTCGCGTATTTGCATTTTACACTCATCGCAACTTTTTTTTGTATTTTGTGTTGTTGGGTTTCTATATACATATATCCATTTTCAGCGTTTACAGAAAGAATATATTTAATTATCTATTGAAACGAAAAAGTTCCGTTTTTTTTATCTTTCGTAAACTTTTCAGTGGCGAAATACGAAATATTGACTGTAAATTTAACAAAGTTTATATTTGAGACAATGCATATATACAGGGTGTCCCAGAATTGGTTTAACATCTCTCGTAGTCAGGTAGAAGGAATAAAACTGAGGTGAAAAGTTCTATACCATTTTGCTAGATTCGCAATAGTTACCGAGATTTTAATTAACAAAGATCCGCGAATAAGCGTGCATCA